GTAATTAAGAATTACTTCTAACTCGCTTTCACCTCATGTTTCCCCCACATTATTGTAAATCAATTATTTTTATTGTCGTTGTTTCGTACACATTTATTGTACGAAGTAATCATTCGATGAAACTTAAGCAAAATTTCAAACAGCAAATTTAGTGTATATTGAATTTTTGTATTAAAATCTTTATTTCAGATTTCTTCTTACGGTTTTTGTTTATTGATAAAATGGCAAGCACAACATCAAATGTTGCATTTAAAGCTTATCGATTTTAAGTAAATAAATTCTTAATTCATTATTGTTTACCATATAGACTATTTTAGATTCAAGAACTTGAAATCGAAAAGGATCTATTTCAAAGAAGATTACAACTTTAAAATGATGTTAGTTATCAACCATCAACAACAGGTGCTGATTTTACTTGTCATGTATTAGAACTTGCATATGTTAATAGTCATATTAAAGCAATTGATGCACAATTAAATTATTACAAGTATATTAGAAGCCAAATCATATAGATATTCGTCAAGTGCATATAAACATTTGATTTGTTCTAATATTTAGCTAATGATTTACTGTGATTATGTATTATCATTTTGATTATTTGTTTTTTTTTTGATTAGCTAAATATCTGTTTGTTTCTTATCTTCGTTGGCTATAAAACAGTTTGTGAAGTTGTTTTTGTTGAAATACGTTGTATGTTTCTTATGATTAATTAGAATTAGCTATCATCGTATTGATTGATTATCTTTTTTTGATTAGCTGAACGTTTTTGTTTTTTGTGGCCTTGTTTTATTTTGTTTTGACACTTTAATTCATTTATGAAATAAAGGTTATTCATTCATTCATTCATTTTCTTCTCCTTGTCCTCCTTTCAGGTCGAGGTTTAAGTCGTTCAGTAGTGATTTCCATCGGTTTCGATCTTTCGCTGCTTGTTCATTTATAAAATAAAAGTCGATATCTATGTATCTTTTATGGATGTGTTGGTGACATTGCTCTACATATGATCACATGTTTTTGTTTTTGTTGTCTTACTGAGAAAAGATAATATTGGGGTAAACAATAATGGAAAAAAATATTCATAAAAATAAGACATTTCGCACATGTAGCGAATCAATTAACAAGAAAAAGTCATAATATTTATGTATTTATATAATATATGACAGCGAGGTTATGACAAGAATAGATGCTACACTTGAATTATTATGGTTTGACTATATTGATAATATATTTGGATTTCGTTGACTTTTTATTTTTCTATCATAATACATTAATGGATTCTAAATATTTAGAATTCGTAGAATTGAAAGGGAAATTCGTAAATAAATAATTCCATTTAAATATTTACGGCAGTGTCATTACATTTATTCTACTTTTACATTTGTTAATATCCAACTAATATCTAAATTAGATTATACAATGAGCAAATATGTACAAGTGAATGAATTCCATGCAATTATCAAACAAAAAAAATATTGATAATTCTGATTTTTACTTCGATTTATAGATTAGTGAATCTTTTTTCTTCTTGAATCTGGTTCGTATTCATAACCTTTGTTTATTTTCAAGAAGAGCTTTTTGGTCAGCATATGACTGAATAAGAAAGTTGAATAACGGCGTACAGCATACATCCAGGCAGATATTAGAGTAAAACAAGATGAAAATCGACTTTTGAACATCTTAAATAGAGATTTATATAATTCAAGTGATATTGGATACGATGACTTAAGCAAAATTTGTTACAAAATCTATTTATAGCATAAGAAACCAAGTAACAAAAAAATAGCTTTGAAAAATCGTATCATCAAGACATACTATGGGCTATTTAATTTCAGTCTGAATTTATCAAATAAAAAGAATACTTGATTTCAAACTGAAACGTGAGTCTAGGAGTGAGGGTGAGGGTGTGCTTGTGGTTTTGTGTACTATAGGCTTTAGTCCCCTGCACAGGGGACTAAGCGGGGACTAAGCTTTTTGTGGGGGGGACTAAGGGGGACTTTGCAGGACTAGGGGGGACTAAGGGTTTTTAGTGAGACTACGTAGTATCAAGCGAGAAAAGTTTGATTCGGAAGAAATTGGTGTGGTTTTTTTGATTTTAGAATTCAGTTTGAAATAAAAAAGCCCATAGACTCCATCAAGAGGCATAAAACTTTCACAACAGTCAATGAGATTTTAATTAAAAAGAAGTTCTATTCTAAAATCTTCATGATCATGGCTCTAGATGAATAGAAATTTCTTTTTCATTTCAACGTATAATAACTGAGAAGATTAAAAAAAGCTTTTTCTAAAGTAAATTTCCGAACAGAATCTTTTGTGTACAGACGAGAAAAAAATCTCTAGTTTATTTTTTACAAACTAGTGCATATATTGTTGTTGCATTACTGTATGTATTTCTCGTGTCATCACATGCCAGATGAGACACAGTACTCGATATAAACATGTACTATTTTCTTAGACTGATTTAATAAAATTCTTTTTCTTTTAATGTTCATAAAAAATATAGTTTAAGCTTATGGCAATTATTTTTATCATTTCTAACTCTGGTTTGTTACACTTTGCAAGTGAGATTTTAAACGTATTTTTAGCTCAAAAATTATATTTAAACGATGATCCGCTTCTGGTCTGCTTTTTACTTTTTCTATTCGTTGGCTGACATCCTTTCTCTTGATGATTTCTTTTCTTTTCAGCTTTATATTAACTCGTTCCCGATACCGATGTGATGTCTGCAGCAAAAAAAAAATGAAAAATTGCAATATACAACTTAGTTTTCAAATCATATCAGTTTTCATGATGATGAAGAGGAGCATGACAGTTTCGATAAGTTTTCTGGTTACTTAGAATTTTGCAAAATAATAAATCAAGATTCTTATGTTGATGTACTTTCCTAACACTATACTTTTGTGTATTGAACCGTCCTAAATGAATCACACACAGATTGCTTTTCCTTGCTTTCTATTTATGTATCTATTATTATTTTCTATTTTTTACTGGGTAAAACAGATCTGTAGATGTTTTTCCCATTTTTTCATAATACGCAACGTAAACACCGTATATTTTGTATACTTAACTTATGAAAACAAGTGTAAATATACAACTTGCTCATTGAAAACAGCGTGCACTGTACATTTTATTTTAGATTTCCATTAGAAACACTGGTTATTGATAGTCTGTCTGTAAGACTTTTTCTCATTGTAAAAACTTGTCAAATTTTTTTTATTATCAAAATAACCATATCTTCGGAATAAATTGTTAATGATGGATTGATTGATTTAAAATTTTTTCTTTTTTCAAATATATTTGAAAGAATTTAATTCAAGTAGTATCGTTTACATCTTGTATAGTTTTCACCAAAAAGAATCAGATTAATTCATTATAGAAGGTTTTTCAATCGCTTTTATTATCATTAATATATTTTT